GGGGGAATGGACCTGCCTGGACTGAGTCTACCAGGTCGATCCCGGTCCTTGGGGGAGACCTTGATCTGGAGGAGGTGGGAATGGGGGGTAGGCTTGGGGGAGGGGGAGGAGGACGAGTGGGGGAGAACAGGGGAATCTGTGGCTATTATGTTGAACTGAATGGTGTTGTAAAATTAAAAAAAAAGAAAAAGAAAAAAAAAATTAGTGTAAGAGCTAGTCAGTAATAAGTTTGAGCTAATGGCCATACAGATTATAAATAATATAAAACTCCATGTGTTTACTTGGGTCTGAGTAGCTGCAGGACTGGGTGGGACACAGGAAAACTTCAGCTACAGGAAGAAGTAAAGGAAATGCTGACCACCAGGGAGCCTGCACGTGACAGACCTAAGCCCTCTGCATATATGTTACAGTTGGGTAGCTTGGTCTTGTGGGGCTTCTAACAGTGGGAACAGGGAATTTTGCTCACTCTTTTACCAGCTTTTGAGACCCTACTCCTCTTACTGGGTTGCCTTACCCAGCCTTAATACATGAAGAGCTTCTTATTCTTACTGCAACTTGATATGCCATGCTTTGTTGATTCCATGGGAGGCCTTCCTTTTTGTGAACAGAAATGAAGGAGAAGAGGAGTGGATTGGAGGCTGCAAACACAGGGGTTTTGGGAAGGGACTAGGAGGGGGGGGAGAAACTGCAATCAGGCTATTAAATAAATAAATAAATAAATAAATAAATAAATTTATTTTAAAAAAAGAAATTAAACTGGACTAGGTAAAATAGTCCCTTGGATTCCCTTCAATTTAGTACTGGGCATCTCCACCTCCATCCATAGCGCTGGCTGAAACAATGCAAACTTTTTCTTACTTCCCTTAAGCCACGGAGCTAGGAGACCTATCACTGTTGTCCTTATCCTGAGAAAAAGTAAGGTTTCATGCTATCATGTATCCTTTAAAAAAGCATGCACACACCCTTTCACAACCACACTCTTCATTCCTCACCTGCACTTTACAATGCTATCTGTATATCAACATGCCAAATTAAGGTTGTTTCTATATTCTCAGTTTATAACTCATTAGATACACAATGCATTTATAATATTTGCCTTCTAAAGAAATACATGAATTGTATCTTAGCAGTGATCTTCTCAACTTGCTCTCTCTCTCTCTCTCTCTCCATATATATATATATATATATATATATATATATATATATATATATATATATATATGATTAATTGGTATAGTGATTGCGATTCCAGATACACTGTCAGACTGTCAGATGAACTCTGGACTGGTGGCATGGCTTACTGTTTTCTTGTCAGAAAATTTTTCCTAAATCTCTCATGATGCAATTTACACTCCATTCCCCTTGTTCTGTCCTAGGAGATGATTGAAACCAGCTGGTGAGCATTCTCTGTGTAATAGCTCTTTATACACTTAAAGACCATTATTAAATCCCCTCTTGGCCTTCTATTTTCCAAGCTGAACAAGCCTAGTTCCATTAACCTTTCTTCACAGCCCTTATTTTCCAATGACTTAATCATGTGCTAACAGTCCTCTGAATTCTCTCCATGTCCAACAAATCTTTTTAACTGTGGGACTCCAGAGAAGTTATATTATTTAAAGATCAAGAAATTTCTAAAAATCAGGACAAATTTATATCTTCTAAAATTTTGGGTCATATTGACACTTGTCACTGAGGATTTAACTGCCAATATTTAGCTATTTATGAGAAACCACAAGCAATTTAATACCTTACTCAATCAAAATACCTAAAAATTGGCCATGAAAATCAATATATATCTACATATATATATATATGATTTCATCAAATGAATGAATATATTCACCTAGAATTCACAGTTAGGCCAAGTTCTTCTGTTCTTCCCTTATTTCAACAATTAAAGCAATATTATTACACAATGGCAGAAATCCTCAAGAGTAAAGTTGTAATGCAAAGGAATATTATTTTATATTGATATTAAGTTTCACGATTTGAAGATATTATAGACTTTGATGTAGATAGCAATTATTTAAGCCAGTGAAATATCTCAGCAGGTAGACACTTGCCATATGAGTCAATCACCCGAATTGGATACCTAGAAATCACATAGTAGGAGTGAACCAACTATCCAAAGTTGTCCTCTGACCTCCACATGTATGTCATGACATATGCTCCTGCCCCACATATATCATGGGTGCACAGGTGCTCCTATACAAACATACTATAGAAGATCTAAAATATGAAATTTACAGATAAATGGAAAGTAATATATATATATATACTGAACCAGGTAACACAGTCCCAGAAAAAAAAATGTTATCTCCTATATGTGAATTCTAGATTGGAATCTTTATATTTGTGTTTTTAAGTTTGAGTACCTGGAAAAGTCAGGAAGCAAGAAAGGGAATATGTGGAGAGTTTAAGAGAGGGAAATAATAGAAAAAAGGTGGCATGAAGAGAGAAAGGGCAATTATGGGGCAAAGGTTTAGGTGTGAAGGAGGAGGGGAGTGCAAGGCAGAAGACATGCTGGATGGAGAAATAACTAACAATGAGGATGTTTGAAAGAATCAAAGGTTCCGGAGGTCCTGAGTTCAATTCCCAGCAACTACACTGTGGCTCACAGCCATCTATAGTGAGATCTTGTACCTTCTTCTGGTATGTAGGAATATATGCAGATGGAACAGTGTATACATAATAAATAAATCTTTTATAAAAAGGAAGAAAGAAAAAGTCATACATGGAAACCTTAAGTGCTATAAACTTCATAATATGTATGAACAATAAATATACTTACATATTCCACATGGATTATATATTTTACATGGATTGGTGGTGTTAGATAATGTTCCTACCAGAAGCTATAGTATATAAAATAAAATTTGCAGAGCTAAGTGTGGGATATTCTACTTCAATTTGTTGGTTGAAGAAGGGACCCTAGAGACTCCCCCCTATCAAAAAAATACAGGTTTATTAACAATGATTTTTTGCCCATTTTTCTTAATATGAGAAAACCATATTAAGAAAATGCTATGTACTTTAACCAAAAGACATGGAAAAATGAGGTCGGTTCTGATTGGAAATCTTGTTTCTATGGGCTAGTTTTCATCATAAGAGAAGGTGCTATGTAGGCTACTGGAAGGAAAATCATTAACAGTCTTGCCCATCTATGAACCATGTGAGCTACACTAATGACCAGCAAGGTAATCAATATGCCCATGGGTGCAATAGTGATACAAATGTTATGGTGTTGACCAACTGCTACTATTGTATTTAAGGTTTACTATACATGAGGCAACACCCATACCCAACATTGTGTATCTGACCAAAAATATCATGGTTGCAGAATTTATAAGCCTCAGAGGTAAACCTACTATTATTTTGCTAAAGGAACATTGTGGAAGAGGGAGAAGAAAGACTGTAGGAGCCAGATTTTAGAGACAACTGCTGAAAAGTAGTGTCCTGCACACATGGCAGGGCTGTCACAGGCATGAACTCACTGCTTATGTCGTTGCCTACAAGAGCTATATTATATAAAGCCAGTCGACCTTCCAGAATTGATAGGGCCTACCTCAGCTGAGGGGCTATTAGCAGCTGGTAATATCAGAGGGGGAGGGGAATGAGTTTTCTTAGGAATACAGCCCATGGTGGGTGGCTCTATACTCATTCTCATAGGAGCAACATTAATTAGACTGGGTGAGGATAAAAAGGAAGACTACATGAAGTGGAAAAGAAGATGAGCGGATTATGGGAGGAGCTGGAGGGGAGGAGTGGGGGCAGATATCTGTAATTCCAGCATTTATACTTTTAAATTAAGATCTTTAATCCAGTTGGGGTTGATTTTATGTAAAATGAAAGACATGCATTTATTTTGCAGGTGTATATCCAATTGTTTTTTCAGGTAGATAGCCATTTATTGAATGTGAGGGTCCTCTTTCCCCTCTCTGCCTGTTGGCCACCAGGTCTAGAGGGGAAAGAGGCAAATGGGTCGACAGAAAGCTTTGTAAGTGGCCCATGAGCACGAATGGAGACAGTCCTCCAGGAGACAGACTTTGGTAAATCAGCTCAACTTTATTTCAGAGTATAAGAAATATAGAGTATTGGGGAGCATGGGGACAAACTCCAATTTGCATAAAGAGGCACTAATATGTGGGAGTAGTGTCCAGTAGCAGAGCTCTTAGTACAAGTCTTCTTAACAGGGATCTGTGCCAAGGGTTAAGCTAAAGATGAACCAGACATCTGATTTAGACAGCTTTTAGATAAGGTCAGTCCTCCAAGTCAAGTGACCCTCTCCAGATATGGGCAGGTAGAGAGCAGGATGCTTAGCTGGCATGAGGGAGCTCCATTTTGCTGAGCAATTGAGATAAGCTGCCAGTCCATGGCAGACTGTGACCTCTAATCAGCCAGCAATGTATTCCAACAATTGAATAAGGCTATCTTTGTTCCAGTGCATGTTTTGACATCTTTATTTTTAAAAAGTAGGTGTATATAGCTGCATGAATTTATATTTCTGAGTCTTCTACTATGTTCCATGGTTGACATGTCTATTTTTGTGTTACTACTATGCTATTTTAGACACTATGACACTATAGTGCAATTTAAAGTCATTTAATACAATGTTTTGTCTCTGTTGTTTGTTTCTAATTTGAATTGTTTTGTCCTTGCATGGTCTTTTGTATTTTCATATTAATTTTAGGATTGTTGTTATCTCATCCCTTGAAGGATGTCATTGGAAATCCATGAGTAGAAAAATATGGCAAATTTGTGGACTTTATGCATATCTTTTTAAAAAATATGATGATGTAGGAAAGAAAAAAGTAGAAATTATTCTATTATTTTTATATTTATGATACTGCAGCTGTTTGAAACTAGTAAAAGAGAGGTTTTGATCAAGGGTAAACACCCTCTGCCTCTCACAGGTTGCCCTAACTACTGCTTTCCTTCATGGCAGTGACATAATAATTGGCACACCTAATTGGGTCTGTGAGGTAAGAAGTAATGTGACATGAAGATGTCTCTTCACAAGCCTGGCTGAAGGGAAGAAGCATTTTGAAGCTTGAGGAGACTTTAGCTCCTTTTTTTCTTGTCTAATTTGTCCACTACCTTCGCACCATTCCATTACTCATGGACAAAGATTTAGATTTTGATTCAAATGAGCGGCTGCTTGTCACAATGATGATCACCTGGACGGTCTTGCTCCTGTTTTTGATAATAGTCTTCACAAAACTATGCTTTGCTTTCTTCCATTTCTTTCGTAGAAGGGGTAACAATTACAGCTTACTTTAAATAGAATGTGGCCATTTTGGAAAATGCCACACACGAACATTACATGGAAAGCATCCACCTAATCCACAGGTCAGTTTTATTCATGTTACTAGTGAACTGAAAAATGTCTATAATTTCAAAATATTATGGTAAAGCAGTTTTAAACAGTTTGGCATAAATAGGATTCTCTCAATGAGAAGATTAAGAATACAAGTGATTTTAATGTCTAGCACTGTCTGAATTATGGCAGAAGTTAGAATTTGAGAAAAATGGAGTATAGAATTGAGAATTTGGGTTATTAAATACATGTTTATTAAAGTCATATAGAACATTTAGTATGTCTAGAAATATATCTTGGCATTTTTAATAGTAATTACAAACTTTAGTATTTGTGGAACAAAATGGGAGGATTGATTGTTCTCCAATAACTGTCAAAGTTGAAAGACAATTTTGACAGTATTTTAAGATATGCTCTAAGTTGCTCAATAAATGACTGAAGATAAAAGAGTAATTTTGAAAAGGCAATTTTTTCCCCATTGGCTATCCCTAGAAAGTACTGAAACAGTGTAAAAGTAAATATTTATAAGGAACTATCTCATAATTTATATACATATTTATCATACTTTAAAATATTATTACTACTTTATTTAAAAAATAAATGTATTTTAGCATTCCTTTAGAAGGCAAATCAAATTGTAAGGAAAATCATTAACGCTATAAAAAAGAGTAATGCTAGAAAATTTGCCATACTAGTAGTCTCTGGTTTTTTTTAAAACAAATGAGATATTTTTAAAAACCATTTGTATTTCATCTCTTTTACAGGCCAATGATGAAATTTAAATAAAAAGATCTCACCATCAACTGTTACTTGGATCCATTTACTAAGTATTAACAAAGTTAAAATATATTTGAGACTTTAGTTTTAAAATAATGTTTAGCTTGGATATTATAATTCTAGCAATTGTAGTTGTATAAATTAGAATATTAAATACCCAGATATAAAAATTTGAGGGAAACTAGTTTTGAAAGTTTTTGTAGAAATTAGGCATAAATCTGTCAGTTAACCCTATATCATTTTGTAATGCCTAGTTGCTTATTTGTTGTATATAACTATTAAAGTATTTACATCTTCAGGCTCAGGAATACATAGAAATTAGGTAAATATATGTACTAACTCAACACATACACACACATGTGTGTCTGTTGAAGATCCACTGAAAAACTCTTTTAAAATGATTTTTAATTAAAATATTTACCTCTATCATCTTTTATATTTTTATGTATAAAACTTTCATTTTTAATTAGCATAAAAGTAATAGAATTCATCATACATAAATACAATTGTACCTTCTTTATTAAACTGTTCTCCTTGTCCTTCCTCAATCCTGTCAGTTCTTAAAAAATCTTCCTGTGATTTCTCATATACACATTTAAATCTGGTTTATACATTAGAGAACCATGCAATATTTTACTTTTTTTTCTACACCATACATTTTATTGTTTCTGACCCCACCGATTTAGACCCTTATTCCCTCCAACATAGAACTCTTCTATCTCTAATACACAACACACAGAGATAGAGAGAAAGAGAGAGGGGGAGAGAGAGAGAGAGAGAGAGAGAGAGAGAGAGAGAGAGAACTTAGAGAGAGAGAGAGAGAGAGAACTTTTATGTTATTTTTTTTTGTCCTGAAGACCATGAACGAACATCTCTTCATCCGAGATAGCATGCTGCCAAGGACAAACTAATGATTCTACCTAAATCTATCTTGATGATCCCATTTGTTTATTAGGTTTACAAGAGCATAGATGAATCAACCATGGATGGAGGAACATGGTTGGTTCCCAAGTTGCTGCATCACTGAAAAGTCTTACTCAGTGTGGTAAGCAACTTTCTCCTAGCAGCTTACATAGCATCCACCTTCAGTAAACCTTACACATCCTGTATACACTGATATCTCCCAAGGCCACTTCCAGTTTTTCACTGAGTCACTTCTCTATTTTTCCAAGCATTTCAGCTGTACTATTACTTCTTGTGTGAATTTCCAATGTTCTTCAAGTAATTTCTCTCCATACAATAGTCTATTGATGTTTGTCACACAGCAAAGACTAGGACATTTTCTCTATCAACAACAACAACATCAATAATAGTAATAATAATTTTATTTTAGATTTATCCAAATGGTTAACATTGTATTTTATCAGCATTCTCTTGCATCTTAGAGTTAACTCTAAGATACGCTTCTATTCCTCAAATATATTTTAAAAATCTCAGTTGTTCATTAATTCTTATGGAACATTTATTATTATAGTATTATGGTTTTAGAGTAGGTGAATGAAAAGCCAATATATCTTCTCTTCACTTTGATGTTTGTTATTAATTTTCTTTTTCTTAGTAGGTCACTCCAGAGCAGGTCATTTACAGTCGTTAAACAGTAATCTTTTCATTTATTCTTCTCTGTTTTAAATTTGTCCTCTTGTTATTCTCTGTTTCTTCACTATTTTTCTTCTTTCTCCGTTGGTTAATTTGGCTGTATTTTTCTAATTCTTGAGATAAATACTTGTACAATTGCTTTTTGTCATTTCGATCTCAAACATACACATTTGAAATTAGAGGTTTCCTTTGATTGATTTTTTTTTTTTTTTGGTTTTTTGAGACAGGGTTTCTCTGTGTAGCTTTGTCCCTTTCCTGGGACTCACTTGGTAGCCCAGGCTGGCCTCCAACTCACAGAGATCCTCCTGGCTCTGCCTCCCGAGTGCTGGGATTAAAAGCATGCGCCACCACCGCCCAGCCTTTGATTGCTTTTTAAATCAAATTTCATGTTTTGGTATATTTTCTTTGCATTGCAATTTAAGAAAAATATTAAATCAGTGAATACAGTTATTAATCTTTTCTTTTTTGTAAATTTTATCTGTAATGTTACATGGTAATTTAATAGTCATAGTTTTATTAATAGCATATGTCCCAATTTTATTTTATTTGGAGAATGTGTATTTATATCTCCTCTATAAATTTGTAGGAGTCTCCTTTGATTTTCAAAAGTAATGTAATTTTACCATTTTATTTTATTTTGGCTTTAGTGGCTTTTGTCTAATATTTATATCATTCCAGTACTTTAGGTTGTAATTTATTATACCATTATCAAAATGCCACATCCAATAATTTTCTTTTGCCACATATTTACATTTTAAAACAAAGACAGATTAATCCTCTTTTTGGAGCATAATTCTACAGCTTTTGTAAATATAAACTCTCATGTGAATATGATGACTGGCATGTTACAGAATGATTCTCATCACTCCCTAAAATTTCTCTTATCTGCTATTGGTAAGTAACTCCCATATTCTAATAGGTGCACTAATGATCTGTTATACACTTTCCAGAATGTCGCATAAAATGAAAAGGTTTTTTTCCTGTATATTGCTAAGGAGTATTCATGTTAAGGATGTACTACTATATGCTAATGTATTTTGGGTTGCTTTCATTGGTTGATGATTATGTAAAAAAATGTTTTCTTATACTTTTACTTGTAGCTTGTGAATAAATTTAACTCATTTCTTTTATATAATACCTAGGAATAAGACAGTTTTATAAGATAACTGTGCATTTAAATTTATAAGCAATCAAGGCATTTCACAAAGCACTGGTACAATTTGGCATTCCCATCAGCAATATATAAGCATCCAAAGTCTTATTTTTCCTGTCATAATTTGATATCTTCAATTTTTATGTGAATGAAAATTTTAATTTAGAGTGATTTTTAAATGATTTGCTCTGAAAACGTTCATACGAATAATAGTATACAGACCAAGCAGTTTATATTTGGGAATATATAGATATTTACATATACATATATATATATGTATATGTATATATATATATATATATATATATATATATATATATATATACACATATATGTATGTAAACACAATTAATCAAAAAAGAGACTATGAAATTAAAATGGAAGGGTTTGGAGGGAGGAAAAGAAAGGGAGATTATGCAAATATATTATGGTTTCAAAAATAAAAGAAAAAATACATTATTATCAACTATTTTACAGAAAAAGAACATGTATCAAGAAAGATCATAATGAAGTCCACACCATTTTCTGTTAGTATCTCACATTATACGTTTATGAATAGTAAGAAACTAAACTATCTATTAACCTGTATTTACATGGATTTCATGTGAGCCTTCCTTCCTCATAACAGTTAACTGCCTAATATCTTCAGAAGTAGCATGGACTCATGACCCCGGTTCACAATAGGAACTGTTAACTGCTTATGAATCTTAGACAGGAAGGAGACATCATCTAACTTGCTTTTTTCTGTTCCAACATTAAGTCCAAGGTAGCACTCTATAGTTTCTTTTAATTTAAGATAGTATCTTGTAGATGTAACCAATCGTATTATTAAAATAAGAAACACAGAGCCAAGGTAAAAGAGAAAAGCCGAGAGGTCAGAGCTCAGAGATAAAATCTTACCTCCTGCAGTGCTCCTAGCTTCCCTGAGAGAGGGAGGTACTTCCTGTGTCCCTGTTTAAATAATCTTTCTGTTCTGCCTTCTCATTGGTTGTAAACCCAACCACATGACTGCCTCATCACTGCCTGTAAGTACCGCCCTCCAGGTCTTAAAGGCGTATGTCTCCAATACTGGCTGTATCCCTGAACACACAGAAATCTACCTAGCTCTTCTAACCACCACGCTCTCACTATGGCTCTAATAGCTCTGACCCCAGGGCAACTTTATTTATTAACATAAAATTAAAATAACATTTCAGTACAAATAAAATATCACCACAGTATCTGCCTTTCTTTTTTTTTATTCTTTAGTTTCTTACCACTTTTATGTTCAAGAAATATCATTTAGATAATCTGTAAGATATGATGCCTAAGTAGGAGTGTCTCATTATTTAGAATATTGTTTTCCAGGTATGGCATACATATTGCCCTCTTGAATTATTAGGAGTTATGCTGACCTGAAGGACAATTGCATAAGATTGTACCCATTAATTTTTTGTTGTAGAGAAGGAAAGGAAATCATGAAACTATACCCCTGCCCCAGGATAAACATTTAACAGTTACTTGGGTTAGGGCCTTATGATGCCTCATCTCTCCTTGAGATTTACAGGCAGTTAACTGTTTCTATGGGGATCAAGGGTCATGAGTCCATTTCCCCTACCCAAAGACATATAGGCAATTAACAGTTACAAAGGGGGAGGGGGCTCAGAAGGCCTCAACAATTCCCAAAGACTTCTAGACAGTTAAGAGTTTCTGTGAGGAGGATCCCAAAAGGTTATACCTCTCCCCAAACATATAGAGAACATAATTAGTTACTATGGTGGAACATTCATGAGGTCATGTCCTTCTTCAAGATTTTCTATCTGTTAAGACAATTTCTAGTGGTAAGTTCATGTGGCCACACTCATCCCCAAGGATATATAGGCAGTTAACAGTTCACAGAGGTGTGTGTGTGTGTGTGTGTGTGTGTGTGTGTGTGTGTGTGTGTGTGTATGTGTTCTTCAGTGGCAGAGTGCTATGGATGTCTTTGTGTATGCTGTGAAAATGTGTTGCTATGATTGATTGATAAATAAAATGCTGATTGGCCAATAGCCAGGCAGGAAGTATGGTATAGGAGGAACAAGCAGAGAGAATTCTGGGAAGTGGAAGGTGAGGCAGGAGATGCTGCCAGCTGCTGCCAGGACAAGCAACATGTAAAGATACTGGTAAGCCACAAGCCACGTGGCAAGGTATAGATTAATAGAAATGGGTTAAGATATAAGAACTAGATAGCAAGAAGCCTGCCACAGCCATACAGTTTATAAGTAATATAAGTCTCTGTGTGTTTGCTTGGGTCTGAGC